CTCGCGGGAAAATCAAAATAAATAAATTATAAATTATAAATCATTTTAAGGATATTTCAATTTTTTTCATTATTTCACCGATTAGTATGTTTATACTAAAACAATTAGACCTCTCGGCCTCGTGGACTACGAGCTAATAGCCCATTCGCCCTCGCAGACCCAGCCTCATGGGCTATTAGCTCGTAGTCCATTCGACCTCGAGGTCTAAGTGTTAAATATCCTATACAAGTTTGTGTAAGAAATAAAGATCGTCACAGTAACCCATCACCCGAAAAAATTTGATTTGTAACCTACTTCAACGTGAATTGAACCCATGACCTCTGTGATGCCAGTGCAGTGCTCTATAAACTGAGCTATGAAGCCAACTACATGTATATTGGCGAGCATTCATTTCATTGGGTGAACCCCTCCAACTATAGTATAAYTTTTTTGTAAATTGGGCAAAAATGGCAGGTCATTTAACCCAAGGAGTTGCTCCTCTCCAACTCCCCACCCCTCCCCACCCCAGGCTGTGACTGCAACTTACCCAAATGACCCTCTGCTAGCACCAAAACAGCATATAACAACCAAGGTGAGGTTCTGACTCTATCATCCCATGACTTGTACATCRTTAAGATTGATTGTACCAAATAGGCAAATGGTAATTGTGATTTTTGTGAAGCAAGGACAGGAAGTAGAAAGCATGTAAACTGTTTGGTCATTTCAGGGCTTAGAAGGTCTATAGTCAATGCTGATAAAACATCATGTCTAGAAAACATAATCAAAACAGTTACAGTATATTGCTGCCACACTTGAAAATTTCTTGAAAGTTTGAAAATAATAGAAAATTTTGACTTTTGACTGAATTTCATACTTTCCCCTTTTTTTTGTTTTTTGTTTTAAATTGGAAAAAAGTTCAGCGTTAATTTTCAAAAATGCTTACTGTTCTGTAATCAATTGTTTGAAAACCCTCAAACCCAGCAGATATACAGTACTTTAAATCTCAGATCAGATCAGCAGAGCAGAGCTTAGCAGAGCAGAGCAGCAAGCAGAGAGCGGAGAGCGGAGAGCGGAGAGCGGAGAGCGGAGAGCGGAGAGCGGAGAGCGGAGAGCGGAGAGCGGAGCACAGAGCACAGAGCACAGAGCACAGAGCACAGAGCAGAGCAGAGCAGAATGTGATTTCAACTCACCTTCCATTATTAATATCTACATCTTTATTACAAACTAATCTGACAGGTCTTAGGATAAGTTCAACCAGAGCACCAGCAAGCGGAGTTGGAGGTACGAATGATACTTCCAGACTTGATGGCACACGATCATTAATCAAAGATCTCAAGTATTTAAAATATTCTGATAATCAATCAAAAATAACACCATTAGAAGGTCCACTATCAGACTAATTGCAAATCCTACATTCTGATCGGCCATTCTACCCAGGGTCTATTTTCAATAGTCTTCAAAAACTCATAATAATTAATGAGCTACTAGGCCAATAGAATGAGACTATTTGGTCACATGCATGGACCTTTATATCTGATAAAACACTCCTTATTAGTATTGTTTATATAAAGAAAGGGTGACCTTTATAAAGGTCCATGACCCTAGCAAAGGTCTCAGGTTTGAAACCTGATCATTGACCAATGCAGAATGTCAACCAATTTCAGTGGACAGCCAAGAGCGGTTCTATTTTACTTTATATGGCTGCGTATTCAATGTGGGATGACAAGAGTGCATTGTAAAGTGATTCGCGCATGATCAGTTTGCCCCATTTATCTCTGAACATATTTGTATGGCAATTTCCCCAAGAATTTTAACGGATTTGAGTTTCAAATTAGTGTTGGAGTTTTTGAAGCCGTTTAAAACACTCGAAATCGTGTTTTAAACTGTAGTCTCAACTACTGAAAGCGCCAATAAAGTTGATTAATTAGAAATATTGCTGGTCAACTCTATGTGTTAAGGACTGTTTTAAGTTTTTTTTTCATTATAACAGCAACAGCAACATGTAATGCATTGATTTTCACTTTGTCAAACATGCCAAGCAAGTCAAACAACGTCGGATGATAATTTATAATGCAAATTTAACTACAGCTGTAAGTGCAAATTTTAGCGATAAAAACATGAATATTTATTTAGCCTCATTAAAAAGGCAAACATCTACTGCTGCACTCACTATTTTTAACCAAGAACARAGTAACTTTAACTGCATCATCCTTATTGATGTGCACCTCAGGAGATRAGAACACTTCTAGCATTCTTAATTGTACAGCAATGGGACTCGAGTCATGGACTGAACTTCCTAAGGACCTGTCAAGTAGAAAAGGCATAAATAAACTTCACTGTAATACATGCAACTTTGTACTCTGAATAAAATTGTCATTGATAATGACAAGGAACAAACATGAAATCAACTATAGCTAAACTTTTTACAGTCATGTCAAAATTTAGCTTTTCACAATTGTTTCTTTAGGAACACCAACACAGCTCAAAATATAGGTCTAATTTTACCGCTAGAAGTACCCTACATCACACTAAATTACCTGCAGCAAAGTAGCAGAAGATTCTTGACCTGATAGACCCATGTGTTTCTCCTTGGTTGATCACATGACAGGTCAGGTTTCATAGTTTTGCATTGTTTTAACATAGTCTGGCATACCCAAATCTTAAAGCAATACAAATATTATTCAGCCTGAAGTATAATGTATATAGAGCGGATTTTGTATGAGTGGGAAACGGACGATACTGTACTGTGAACGTAATCGTATTGTAACCAAATTCTAGTGCCCCATTGGTTCGCCAAAATTGTGCAGGMCAGGTSCGGTAACTGTGCGGTAACCGTGCGGTAACGGTGTCCCACTCATACGAAATCCGCTCTAGAAATTATGATCGTTTTGACTCATATTCAAAGTTATAGAATATATCAGAAATTACGGGATATCATTTCCAATATTTTTTTTAAGTTGCCTAGCACTAGGTACCTTCTGAAAATAATATTGGCGATGATATCCAGCAATACTCCAGTTTCGAATTCTCCAATGCTCTGTGTTAGCCTCATTTGTGCGCAAAATATTCCTTATTGTGAGGGTAAAAGTGTTAGATTTCAAATCAAATTTATTGTCTTTCTTCACAAAATTCCATGAGTTTTCTCGAGCTATCAATAAAACAAAAGAATATGTTACTTGGTTTTGAGGCTAACACAGAGCAAACCAGAACTCGAAATTGGAGTATTACATGTATTTAAAGGTAAGCAGTTCACTACATTATAAACAAACTCAAACTCATGATCAATCAACATGGCACCTTAGCAATGAATCTAGCATTGTAACTTTGTCTTCAAAATCTACTCCAAAATTAAGTTGTTGAAATGCATTTTCTAATAATAGTTATAGAAACTGTACCAGTCTTTGGGAGTCTTTCTTATTGGAGTAGAAGAAAATAAGTCTCCTGTTCAGCAAAGATAGCTGTTGYRCATCRATGTCAGACTTGGAATTCTGTACACTTTGACAACAAACATCGAAAGCTTCCCTCTGAAGACAATACTAAAAACCAAAACCACATATCGTYATTATATATTATTATTATTATWWWWTATTATTATYRTCRTYATTATAGCATTTTAACTCAATGTTYATTTTGCTGAGCKCAAAGTAGTTTGACTCTAAAACATGTTCCTCAGCACTCAACTTATCGATAAAAGGACCACATGCATTCAAGATCCKTTGCAGTCATTTCTTTTGTTATACAAATGAYCTCTTGTTGGAAAGTGCTTTCTGATTGGTTAATAATCAAAGATGGCAAATTTTTGTAAGTGAAAAAATTGTGCAAAGTTTTTTGGATGAMTATAATGTGCCTTTATGTCTGTTTGTATCTGTTATTTWAAAAAAAATTACCTGCTTTCGACGGACCCATTCTGCCCGCATAAATGCTTGAATGATAATAGCGCTATGGATTCTTCTCTTATGATCCTAGWAGTAACAARCAGGGATGTAAGGGTTTGTRGTGTTGAGCCATGMATGCCTATCATGAMGTTGTACTTTGGCCAGYCACAGAGTTTGCAATTCTCCAACAATAAATATTATACATACTTCTCGGTCTTTTCGTTCTATTTGTGTCCTCTGTAGTAGAGCTGATCTTGCTTCCTGGACAAGATAATAATTAACTTAACTTACACAGATAAAATTAGAAAAAAATGTCATTTCACTCGTATCACTACATATGAAAGTGTGATATAAAGATTTTAAGTTAGATAAATTAAAAAAGGGTCTAAAATGATCACAAATACTATAGTTGAGTTGTGCRCACGATCTTCAGAAAGAAAACTCACAGAACTAAAAAATATTAACAATAAAACAAAGCCATGACGCAAACTGCAATGTCATCCATCAAAACTTCTTCAATTCAATATGTCAAACAATTTCCCTATTCTACGCCACATTTTCTTACTTTTTTACTTGCTCCTCCAAGAGAAACAGTAGGGCGACTCTTAAACTGTCCATCGAAGGCAAACATTGTATATTTACGAGTTAAAATGAAGGAATATTCAGAGCTTTGACCGCATATTCCGGCCTGAGATGCTTTAYATTTTTATTTTTGTTGAATGTGCTTGGTAGCCTCTCCTGTCGTGACGGTGCAAAATATGTAGCCGCGCCGCCATAAATTATCGTGGGAAACTGGAGATTTGTTTCTTTTCTTTGGAAGTCCGACGAGGGAAATTTTAAAAAAATATGGAGAAGACTTATAGTCTGCGTTGCAGAAAGGAAGATGTATCGTTTTATAGTTTTAAAGGCATTTTAATGTTAAAACTGCAAAGAACAGCTCATTAATCATACAACAACAGCACAGGGAGCCCATTTGATGGCAATTTTTTTTTTATTTCAACTGTGTTCAAGTGTCCTGTTTACGTTCTAGAGCACTTTTTTCTTATTTATAAACTTAATTCAATCCAATCGACGTTGTTTTTACAAATGTTTTCTTCATCGTCATGAACAGGAATTGGTATTCCTGTGTAATATTCGAAACACTTAGGGCGTTTGTCGCCATTTTGCCTGTGTTCATCACTGCGCGAAAAATCCTCATTTGTTCAATGGTAAGTTGAAAAAATTTTAAGWAACGCTGGCAGTACAAACACTCTAACTTAATCCAACGAAAAATAAACCATTTTAGGTTTTTTTCTGAACGTTCTAGTCGTATGAAAATATATCTTGGCCTCGCATTGACCTGCCGGTGCAGTTGTTATTCCATATGAGCTTTATAAGCTTAATACATTGTTCAGTTAACAATATCAGCTTACATATCGAACGGCACTTTTTACAATAAGCTTAATGTAAGTKCTCCTTAAACTTTATAAAACCAGTAGCCCTGATAAAACACAAGTCATTTTATTTACATCATTCATACGATTTTAATTTTTGATTGTTTCGCTAAAAATATAATATTTCTTAGCGTCGGTTTTGCTCTTAGATACACCAATTCTTTATTAATATCCATAAATATTCTTTATTCATTAGTCTTTATTTTTATGTGGATCAGATGGTACGCGAGTTTAAACACCTGATATATTTATCCGATTCGTCACCCTCATCCTGGGGGTGGGGTTTGGATGTACGAAGGCTATTATAAGAAGCATGTGATGTGTGATGACGTAGTTTGTTTACTATTAAATGAAAATGAAAAAAAAAAAAAAAGAAAAAAAATAACAGTTACTCAACTTTTTTGTTTGTCATATGCACTTTTGATAATAATCCCACATGTCAGTATGTATAAATATGGTACAATTCCAGTCTTGTTTCAGCTTATTCTGTATCATTCTTTTAGAATGTGAAATATCTAATTTTAAATATGAAATATGATATTGTTAAACAATGGTACTGACTAAAATATACAAATATAGAAGCTGTCTACTTTTATCTGTAGCATGATACCAGAGTGCTCTATACTCAAGAAGCAAGCCATCAAGTGCAGGTTTAATTATAATGTCATGATGTGCCAAAATGGTGATGTTTTTTTTTTGAAAATATCACTCTATTGTCCTGCAAGAAGACTATACTCTACATAAAAACCTTAGCTATATAGACAGCCAGGTACAAATCCTTATAATTCTAGTTAATATACATATCTGGTTTTCTCCAGCTCTTTTAATGTTTTCCTTTCATATTCTAGCTTTACTTTTAAAACTCTCAAGCCAGTGTTCAGTTCAATGTTATAAACTGCATTAATTGTAAATTTTCATCTCATGTATAAATGATTTTGGCTTACATCCAGTTAAAAAATAATATGTCATCTTATTTTTAATTTTTATATTCTAAAAAAATTATTTTGTGACATCTGTAATTTATCACTTTGTCTTCTCAAATTTCCAATGCATTAAAAGTTTGAATTTTGGCATTTRTATCTTACTTCAACATTCATCATGGAAAGAGGAATGCCATTGCACAGTACAAATTGCAAAATAATGAGCGATATGATATTCAATTGCCTTGACTTTTAATGCCAAGGCAATTAAATATCATATCGATCAGGGATCACTGTGATTATCACAAATACAACAGCTACCTCGTGGTTCATTTC